CTATGGGCCGAGCCTCGCTGCCTACTCCCTACAGAACCACCCAAGTGACACCACCTCTTCATGGAGGAATTTTTACCACCGAGGGATGAGGACATCGGGGTTCTTTCATAAGGCGAACCTCTCCAGGCTGCCACCCCGGGAAAAATCGAAATCGCCGACATCACCAACAGGTTGGTCCATGTTAACGGCCATCGGGCCCAGGAGTACGGGACACTGGGGCCAAAACTCACCCTAGTCCAACCCCAACTGGTTTACCAGACTGGGCCAAGACCAGCTGAGGTTCTCAGCTGAGGTTCTCCTTGGAAATGATCTGGGAGTCCTGGTCTCCACTTTTGGCACAGAGACCCCTGCTGAAGCTCATCCAGTCACCACTCGCCGCCAAGCTAGAGAGCATGCTGCCGCTCCACCTGCTGAGGTTCCGGTAAGAGTCGAATACCCACCCCCTGCTGAGCTTGTCCCTGTCCTGACCTGGGATTCCCCCGCTGATTTCGCTAAAGAAACAGCCAGTGACCGGACCTTAGACCCCTATAGACGGAGGGCTGGGAGTGATTCCTGGGGGATTGGGAGATGTGAGGTTATGAGTGGGACCAGGGCAAGTTGTACAGGGTCCACGGGGGAGCAGGGGTGGGCGCTGCCCAAATACCTCACCGGCAGATGGTAGTACTGAGGAAGTATCGGGCGTGACCTCCTCCAAGATTGCGCATGAATTCCCCTTGCTGGGCATTTGGGCAAGCGACGAACCCCTGCATCGCTTAACCCAGAGTTTTCTTCTGGCCAGGGAGTATCGGGGTTACATTCGGGACTTACTGTCTTCTTTGTTGAGGTCTGCCAGAAGGTAGGGAATCAGGGAGACAGGGCCCAGGGATACTCTGAGGCCCCTACCCCATAGTCGGGGAACCTTTTTCAGTCGTATCGCCGTGGACCTAGTGGGGCCCCTTGAAACGGCCTAGTCCCAACAGGCAAGAAGTATATCTTGACCATTGTCGACTATGCCACCCGGTAACCCGGAGGGCCGTTAGCGCTGAGATGTGCAGGCAGAAACAGTTGCTCAAGCCCTGCTGCAGATCTTTACTCGGGTAGGATTTCCTCGTGAGATCCTGACCATCCAAGGCACGCAGTTCACGGCCGAGTTTACCCAACAACTTTGGAAGTTGTGTGGGATATCAGACCGCTGTACAGCTCTCCCTACCACCCCCAGACCAATGGGTCTGAGAGGGTTTAATGGTACGCTGAAACAGCTCCTCCGAAACGTTTCACCATGTCCCATAATGGACTGGGAGCGGCATCTTCCCCACCTCCTGTTCACCTATCAAGAGGTACCGCAGGAGTCCACTGGGTTCTTTCCCTTCGAGCTGCTGTACGGCCGAAGGGTTTGGGGATCCCTGGATCTCCTACGCAAAACACTGGGAGGGAGGAGCAGTGGCCGAGGAGGGGACTCGGTGGTGGCCTATGTGCTGGAGCTCAGGAGAGGCTACAACAGTTGATGACCCTAGTACGAGACAACCCTTGAGGCCGCCAGAGCCGACAGAAACGGTGGTACAACCTGTCTGCCCGAGACCAAACATTTCACTTAGGACAGAAAGTGTTGGCCTTTGAAACCAGTCAGGCATGACAAATTACAGGCTGCCTGGCAGGGCCCGTACCGAGTGGGGGAGCAACTCTGTGATACCACATACATTGTAGCTCGCTGTTCGGATGGAAGGATCCGGTGAACCTTCCATGTGAATATGCTGAAACCGTTCATCGAACGTCAGGAGGAGAGTGTAGCTGCTATTTGCGCTCCGGCTACCGATGACTCAGAAACGCTTCTGCCGGGGCTCCCGGGGGACGGGACAGTCCCAGCGGAGTGTAGATATCAGACACATGGCTGCCTCCCAAGGCCCAGGAACAGGCCCACCAACTGCTCCAAGAACACCGAGAGCTGTTCTCGTCTCTGCCTGGGTACACCACCATAACTGCCCACCGGGTAGACACGCAGGGTCAGGCCCCCCTGAAGCAGGCGGCCTACCGAGTGCCCGAGTCCATCAGAGAAGGGATGAGAAGAGAGATTAAGGAAATGTTAGATTTAGGTGTGATAGAACCCTCCTGACAGTCCCTGGGCCTCCCCAGTGGTCCTGGTACCCAAGAAGGACGGAACCATCCGGTTCTGTGTGGACTACCGCAGGCTCAATGACAGGACCGTGACTGATGCATACCCCATGTCCGGATAGACGAGCTGCTGGACCGGATGGCCAGCGGTAATTTTCTTACCACTATCGATCTCTGCAAGGGGGACTGGCAGATTCCGCTGGATGCGGACACGGTACCAAAGTCAGCATTCATCACCCAGTTTGGCTTGTTACCAGTCCAGGGTCATGCCGTTTGGGATGAAGAACGCCCCCGGCTGCCTTTCAGAGAATGTTAGATAAGCTGCTGGATGGACTGCAGGACTTCTCCTGCGCCTATCTAGATGATATAGCTATCTACAGTGATAGTTGGGAGGATCATCTCCGACATCTCAGGGAAGTGCTTGATCACATTGGGCAAGCAGGGCTGACCATCCGACCTGACAAATGCCACGTTGGGGTGTCCGAGGTCCAATATCTAGGACATCGGGTAGGATGTGGGAAGCAACGACCGGCACCGGCAAAGGTGGAAGCGGTAGCAAATTGGCCCACTCCCCAAACCAAGACCCAGGTCCTTGCCTTCCTAGGCACTGCAGGGTACTATCGTAAATTCATCCCCAACAACAGCGCCATTGCTAAACCCCTAACGGATCTGACCCGGAAGAATCTGCCCCGACAGGTTGTGTGGTCCCCAGAGTGTGAAACCGCTTTCCAAAAGCTCAAACATGATCTAATCCATGCTCCCGTTTTGGCTGCTCCTGACCCTTCCAAACGGTTTTGTGTTCACACCGATGCCTCCACCTTTGCATTGGGTGCTGTTCTGAGCCAAATCAGGGACGACCATCCAGTGGCCTACCTAAGTAGAAAGTTGTTACCCCGGGAGGTGGCCTATGCTGCTGTGGAGAAAGAATGTCTTGCCTTGGTATGGGCCCTCAAGAAATTGCAGCCCTACCTGTACAGGCGCTCCTTCACCGTACTCACCGATCACAACCCCCTGGTATGGCTAAACCGGGTCACCGGGGACAATGGTCGTCTGCTGCGGTGGAGCTTGGCCCTCCAACCTTATAACTTTACCATCCAGTACCGACCGGGGAAGCAAAACGCCAACGTGGATGGGTTGTCCCGGCAAGCCGAGTTGGAGAAGTAACCCTCTGAACTGACCAGCCCCAAGCGGACCCGTTTGAAGGTCTCGCTGGGTCTGGCGGGTGCTACACAATGGGGGGAGCCTTGTGACGAACCGTCCCTTTTTTTTTTTTTCATAACATTTTGCCCTGTTCCGGTTTTCTCCCCTTTGTAAAGCTGTTTATGTTTCACAGACATTCTACACGGTTTAGGGAAATGTGACCTTGTAGTCCTTCCCTTCTATAGAGTTCATACTGTATTGGTGGTTGTGGGTGGGGAAAACACGGTGCCAGGCTGTCTGATGGGAGTGATGTTGTATATACTGAGCTGTGTTCAATAAAGATTGATTCATTTCCCCTACACGAAGTTCCGACTCGTGGTTTGGGAGAGCAGGGAAGGATTGGTTTTGAGCTCTAATACCTGCCTTGGCAGAGCGCTGGAAGACTTGCTGGACAAGGGGACCATTGGCTGAGACGCATCGCTCCGCACGAGGAAGCCCAGGGGGAACGGTTCCACCACATCCTCCAATCACATCAATACCCCCACAATGTCCTCCTATCACATCATTACTGACCTATGGCTACCCGCACCCTGGGCAATCCTCTTCAATGAATGAGGAAAGAACAAAGAGGGCGCACAGGCCTAATGCATTACCATAAAAAACGTTTAATAAGAAATAAAATAGGTGTTGTCCTCACAGACGAGAATAAAGTCAAGGCACGTCATAAAAGAACGTGGCTCTGAGGAAGAGGCAAGTCCTCGAAACGCGTCAACCTATTGGATGTCTACACTCCCCATTGCGGACTGCTACTCAGAGCGGTGCTGACCCAGCTGTTCTTTTATGATGTGCCTTGGCTATATTGTCGTTTGAGTACAACGCCTATTTTATTTCTTATTAAACATTTTTTATGGTATTGCCCTCGTCCTGGGCGCCCTCTGTGTGTTCTTTTCCCATTCAGTATATTTGGATTCCCCCGTCCATTTGAGGGCAGCAAGGTGTGCATGTTCCAGGACATTCTTAATGTGGTTGTAGCATCGAGTTCATCCCCAAGCGCAGGAGCATTTGTGTTTGCTGGTTCATAATCCTCTTCAATGAGCCTGCAGGGATGAGGATTCTCCATTGGGATTTTTGGAGTTACTGTGCAGACCATGTGTGGAGGGCGATGGGGGGGGGGGGGTCATTACTGGTAATTCTGCTGCAAAGTGGAGCTGTACTTTATACCAGTCATAGTAATACCAGGACACCCCATATACCCCAGGACACCCCATATACCCCAGGACACCCCATATACCCCAGGACACCCCGCAGGGACAGTCATTGATCCCTCATGTGCTGTCCTAGCCTATCTGCTCTCTTCCACCACAAAGGTTCTGGTGAAAACCCAAACTGAGGTGTCACCACAGGATGGATGTGAGCTGAGGAACTGAGCTAGGAACAGAACTGCCGCTATATCAGACCAGGAGAAGGCCAAGGGTCATATGACCGCTACTAGTGTGCCACCGAGCGTCTGCCCACCATGCCACCAAGCGTCTGCCCACCATGCGTCTGCCCACCATGCCACCGATACACTAGATGGCCAGAAATCTGCAGATAATTGACCAGTTCAGCCAGTTGTCTGTTCCTTTGAGACCTGAGAGGGGTGACACTGAGCTGATGGGACCTTCCTTTATATCTTTAGAGGGTATATATTATGTATACATATTGCTCCATCTCCCAAGAATCATGATTATTGGTCACCTGTTGGGGCCCCAGTTTAGATACGGGCTACTCACAGAATCGGTGAAGCCGGACTGCTGGTTGGCGTGTTCAAGCTGCTTCTGGAGAGGAATGCCACTGCTGGGGGATGAACCCTGAAGAGGACACAGAAGGGAACAGTAAGCCTGATTTCTGACAAGTATCCAGCAGTACAAGGAATGAAAACAGGAGAGCGCAGGGCGAGATATCAAACACAGGAGAAATGGTGAGATCTTCCCATAGACACAATCCTTCTGCAGCTTGCAGGCCGAGGGACGGGAGGCCGAGGGATGGGAGGCCGAGGGACCGGAGGCCGAGGGACCGGAGGCCGAGGGACCGGAGGCCGAGGGACCGGAGGCCGAGGGACCGGAGGCTATTACATCAGTCTCATGGATTGGAGTCTAAGTAATCAGGCTCTAAAAGAAGGGATCAAAGAGTTCCAACTATAACCCTAACAGGACAAGGGTGATGAGGCTGGAGGGGGAAGGGTTCTACCAACATCTCTAGGTGGGAAGGCCAGAGGGAGGAGAGTTTTATGTCCATAGCAGCGAAGTGCTACCTATGTCCATGGCAGGGCAATGGTGATGGTGCTGGGGGGGAGGGAAGTGCTACCTACATCCATGGCAGGGCAATGGTGATGGTGCTGGGGGGGAGGGAAGTGCTACCTACGTCCATAGCAGGGCAATGGTGATGGTGCTGGAGGAGGGAAGTGCTACCTACGTCCATGGCAGGGCAATGGTGATGGTGCTGGGGGAGGGAAGTGCTACCTATGTCCATGGCAGGGCGATGGTGATGGTGCTGGGGGGAGGGAAGTGCTACCTATGTCCATGGCAATGGTGATGGTGCTGGGGGGAGGGAAGTGCTACCTACGTCCATAGCCGGGCAATGGTGATGGTGCTGGAGAAGGGAAGTGCTACCTATGTCCATGGCAGGGCAATGGTGATGGTGCTGGAGGAGGGAAGTGCTACCCAAGTCCATGGCAGGGCAATGGTGCTGGGGGAGGGAAGTGCTACCTATGTCCATGGCAGGGCAATGGTGATGGTGCTGGGGGGAGGGAAGTGCTACCTATGTCCATGGCAGGGCAATGGTGCTGGGGGGAGGGAAGTGCTACCTATGTCCATGGCAGGGCAATGGTGATGGTGCTGGGGGGAGGGAAGTGCTACCCAAGTCCATGGCAGGGCAATGGTGATGGTGCTGGGGGAGGGAAGTGCTACCTATGTCCATGGCAGGGCAATGGTGATGGTGCTGGGGGGAGGGAAGTGCTACCCAAGTCCATGGCAGGGCAATGGTGATGGTGCTGGGGGGAGGGAAGTGCTACCCAAGTCCATGGCAGGGCAATGGTGATGGTGCTGGGGGAGGGAAGTGCTACCTATGTCCATAGCAGGGGAATGGTTATGGGGCTGCGGGGAAGTAAGTGCTACCTACGTCCATAGCAGGGCAATGGTGTTGGGGGGGAGGGAAGTGCTACCCACGTCCATAGCAGGGCAATGGTGATGGTGCTGGGGGGAGGGAAGTGCTACCTACAGTGAGGAACAGAAGTTTTTGAACCCCTGCGATTCTGCAAGTTCTCCCACTTCATCATGGAGGATCTGACATTCACATTGCAGGGGATTCCCACTCTGAGGACAGAATCCAGGAGATCACATTGTATGATTTGTAAAGAATGTATTTGTCTCGCACGGCTGAACAGAAGTATTGGAACCCCCTAAGAAGCAGCAAGAATTCTGGCTCCCAAAGACCTGTTACTGCACCTTTACAAAGTCCCCCTCTACTCCACTCATTCATCTCACTTAGTAGCCCCTGTCTGAGCTCTATAAAGACACTTGTCCACCGTAAACTTCACTCGTCGTGTTTGGAGGAAAAAGAAGGATGAGTTGCATCCCAAGAACACCATCCCTACTGTGAAGCATGGGGGTGGTAACATCATGCTTTGGGGGGGCTTTTCTGTGAAGGGGACAGGACGACTGCACTGTATTAAAGAGAGGATGAATGGGGCCATTTATTGTAAGATTTTCAGCAACAACCTCCTTCCCTCAGTCAGAGCATTGAAGATGGGTCGTGGCTGGGTCTTCCAACATGACAACGACCCGAAGCACACAGCCAGGAGAACCAAGGAGTGGCTCCGTAAGAAGCATATCGAGGTTCTGGAGTGGCCTAGCCAGTCTCCACACCTAAATCCAATAGAACATCTTTGGAGGGAGCTGAAACTCCGTGTTGCTCAGCGACAGCCCCGAAACCTGACAGATCTAGAGGAGATCGGTGTGGAGGAGTCGGCCAAAATCCCTGTTGCAGTGCAAACCTGGCCAAGGACTACAGGAAACGTCTGACCTCTGGAATTGCAGACAAAGACTTCTGTACCAAATATTAACACGGATCTTCTCAGGGGTTCAAATACTTCTGTTCAGCCGTGCGACACAAATACATTCTTTACAAATCATACAATGGGATTTCCTGAATTCTGTCCTCAGAGTGGGAATCCCCTGCAATGTGAATGTCAGACCCTCCATGATGGAGAAGTGGAAGAACTTGCAGAACCGCAGGGGGTTCACATACTTCTGTTCCTCACTGTAGGTCCATAGCAGGGCAATGGTGATGGTGCTGGGGGTGCAAAGTGCTACCTACGTCCATAGCAGGGCAATGGTGATGGTGCTGGGGGGTGCAAAGTGCTACCTACGTCCATAGCAGGGCAATGGTGATGGTGCTGGGGGGTGCAAAGTGCTACCTACGTCCATAGCAGGGCAATGGTGATGGGGATGAGGTGTGTGAGGAGGAGGGTTATGGTTCCTAGAAAGGAAGACGTGAGAGAAGCTCGAACCTGCATGAGCTCCAGTATAATGACCATGAACTGCATATCCCTGCTGTTGGTGAGACAGGTACTGCATGGTTGGGAAAGCAGAAGGACCTACAAGAGAAAAGGATCAGAATCAGAATACTGGATACAATTCACAAAGTCTTCCATGTGAGCTGAAAGCCATCCTGACCTCTGATAGACTGGCTGCCTGTATAGCTGACTGGTCCGGCCTGGGCTGCCCCAAAGCTGTGCTGTGACTGGCCGACGGTATAGGGGCTGTGACCTGACTGGCTGGTCTGGTACTGGCCATGTTCTGCCGCGGTGGGACTGAAGGATGGCTGTGTCGGGTAATGACGGCCCTGGGAGGAAGTGAGAGTGATGAGATGAAACTTCTGAGGCAGCAGCATTAGGAAAACAACGAAGGAACAGAAAACGATACTCACAGTTATAACGGGAGGACCAAACATCTGTTTGGCCCGGTCGGCCATAAGAGAGCTGTGCCGGGAATGACCTCCAGGGCTCCCTGTGAGAAAAAGGATAGAAGAAGAGGATATTCAAGAAGTTCATATCTACACACCCTGACAAGATGAGTCTACTCTACAGGAAGACATCGCTCCCTCAGATCCAATGTCATGGAGATCTCCCGAGACCTACCTGAAATGCTAGAACTAGAACTCCAGCAACATGGACCAACATCTCCTATACTCTACAGGAAGACATCGCTCCCTCAGATCCAATGTCATGGAGCGCTCTCCTGAGACCTACTGGAACTCCAGCAACATGGACCAACATCTCCTATACTCTACAGGAAGACATCGCTCCCTCAGATCCAATGTCATGGAGCGCTCTCCTGAGACCTACTGGAACTCCAGTAACATGGACCAACATCTCCTATACTCTACAGGAAGACATCGCTCCCTCAGATCCAATGTCATGGAGATCTCTCCTGAGACCTACCGGAACTCCAGTAACATGGACCAACATCTCCTATACTCTACAGGAAGACATCGCTCCCTCAGATCCAATGTCATGGAGATCTCCCCTGAGACCTACCGGAAATGCTAGAACTAGAACTCCAGCAACATGGACCAACATCTCCTATACTCTACAGGAAGACATCGCTCCTGTAGATCCAATGTCATGGAGATCTCTCCTGAGACCTACCGGAACTCCAGTAACATGGACCAACATCTCCTATACTCTACAGGAAGAGACAGGACTGATCCTGTGTGATGTGATGTCACTTCCTGTGTGTGGTTAGGACTGATCATGTGTGATGATGTCACTTCCTGTGTGTGGTTAGGACTGATCATGTGTGTGATGATGTCACTTCCTGTGTGTGGTTAGGACTGATCATGTGCCATGATGTCACTTCCTGTGTGTGGTTCAGGCCGATCCTGCGTGATGTGATGTCACTTCCTGTGTGTGGTTCGGACTGACCCTGTGTATGGTTAGGACTGATCATGTGTGATGATGTCACTTCCTGTGTGTGGTTAGGACTGATCATGTGCCATGATGTCACTTCCTGTGTGTGGTTCAGGCCGATCCTGCGTGATGTGATGTCACTTCCTGTGTGTGGTTCGGACTGACCCTGTGTATGGTTAGGACTGATCATGTGTGATGGTGTAACTTCCTGTGTGTGGTTCAGATTGATCCTGTGTGAGGTCACTTCCTGTGTAATGTTAGGACTCTTCCTGTGTGTAATTCGGAGTAATCCTGTGTGATGTCATAGCAGAGATCAGACTTCCCCATACACGGTGACATTAGGAATGCACTGACTGCCCCCAGTGCAGAGATGTAGGACACATCCTGGTATCATGTCATGTGACAGGCTGTACAGGAGCCATCTTACCCTGCATGTTAATGAGGTGAGCCCCGGCGTGCATGACCATACCCTGCTGGTAGGCGGCAGATGTCAGAGTGGTGAGGTCACTGCGGGAGGAAGAGAGACAATAGAGTCTGAGCGCACAACAATGCCAACCGTCCCTCCTCCCCTCCCCCCCGGGACATACACTACCCTTCCCCCCCCGGGACATACACTACCGTGCAACCGTCCTTCCCCCCCCCCCCCGGACATACACTACCGTGCAACCGTCCTTCCCCCCCGGGACATACACTACTGTACAACCATCCTTCCTTCCCCCCCCCCGGACATACACTACTGTACAACCAATTGTGTGTGGGCCCCATCCAGCCCCATCTATCGTGTGTGGGCCCCATCCAGCCCCATCTATCGTGTGTGGGCCCCATCCAGCCCCATCTATCGTGTGTGGGCCCCATCCAGCCCCATCTATCGTGTGTGGGCCCCATCCAGCCTCATCTATTGTGTGTGGGCCTCATCCTGCCTCACCTACCATGTGTGGGCCCCATCCAGCCTCATCTATTGTGTGTGGGCCCCATCCATCCTCCTTTACGGGGTCCAGTCTCACCTTTGCTCCTTCCGTCTCCTCTTTTCCTCTTCATGAAGAACCTTCTTCAGCTGTAGAAAGAGTTGATGTTTTTCCTCCTGCAGCTTGTTCAGCTTCTCCTGGAGCTTCATGATCTATAAGAGTCAGGAGAAATGCGGGACAATGAGGACAGAATTCTTCCCGGCTCCTCAGAGGCCTCCATGTCCTCTATTACTCTTGGATCACCACTTCCTCCATCAATCTGATCCTTCTACCTGGAACCACCTTCAGGGAGCTGTCAATCCTTTATTTGAATCCCCTCTGTGTGGGGGAGGGGAGAGTGCTGGACTCTCATTGCTGAAAATTGTTCTGCTAATGTCAGGTGATCGGTTTAGCTCCTCCCATCATGAGATAGACAGATCTTCCACGGATACCATTGGACCAATACAAATCTTTCCAGAATTCGTAGTCTTACCTGTTCCCGGGTCTCTTCCAGGGACATCCTCTCCTCCATTTCCTTCTTTCTCCTCCTCTCTTGTTCATCTCGCAGCTTCTGTTCCATCATCTTATCCACCTCCTCCTCCTCTGTGGAAGACAAGACAAGATGGTTCTCCTCTGCAGTCCGAATAGAAAGCGTGGCCTGTGCCTCATCACCCACATCATCCTCCTGCGACAACCGCACCAGTATGGAGGCTTACCTTGTCGTTTGCGTTCCCGCTCCATCATAACATGCCGATGGAGGGCCCGGGCCATTGTGTTAGTCAGCTTGGGTCTCTCCAGAAGAGCCGGCATGATGAATAGCAAATATCACACTGAGGAAAACAAGAATGAATAAACTATTAGGCAGCAAATCGGGACGGACAGCCAGAAGAGACATTTCATAAGAGGCACTGAGGACAACAAAAAGGACCCACTAAAAAAAAAATATCCCCAATGTCGGAAGACCATAGAAGGACCTAGCGTGGGACGCTCACCGAGGTCTGAAGACCGTACAAGGACCCAGCGTGGGACGCTCACCGAGGTCTGAAGACCGTACAAGGACCCAGCGTGGGACGCTCACCGAGGTCCGAAGACCGTACAAGGACCCAGCGTGGGACGCTCACCGAGGTCCGAAGACCGTACAAGGACCCAGCGTGGGACGCTCACCGAGGTCCGAAGACCGTAGAAGGACCCAACGTGGGACGCTCACCGAGGTCCGAAGACCGTAGAAGGACCCAACGTGGGACGCTCACCGAGGTCCGAAGACCGTAGAAGGACCCAACGTGGGACGCTCACCGAGGTCCGAAGACCGTAGAAGGACCCAACGTGGGACGCTCACCGAGGTCCGAAGACCGTAGAAGGACCCAACGTGGGACGCTCACCGAGGTCCGAAGACCGTAGAAGGACCCAACGTGGGACGCTCACCGAGGTCCGAAGACCGTAGAAGGACCCAACGTGGGACGCTCACCGAGGTCCGAAGACCGTAGAAGGACCCAACGTGGGACGCTCACCGAGGTCCGAAGACCGTAGAAGGACCCAACGTGGGACGCTCACCGAGGTCCGAAGACCGTAGAAGGCCCTAACACGTGAGGATCACGGAGGTCCGAAGACCATAGAAGGCCCTAACACGTGAGGATCACGGAGGTCCGAAGACCATAGAAGGACCGAACGTGAGGATCACAGAGGTCCGAAGACCATAGAAGGACCGAACGTGAGGATCACGGAGGTCCGAAGACCATAGAAGGACCGAACGTGAGGATCACGGAGGTCCGAAGACCATAGAAGGACCGAACGTGAGGATCACGGAGGTCCGAAGACCATAGAAGGACCGAACGTGAGGATCACGGAGGTCCGAAGACCATAGAAGGACCGAACGTGAGGATCACGGAGGTCCGAAGACCATAGAAGGACCGAACGTGAGGATCACGGAGGTCTAAAGACCATAGAAGGACCGAACGTGAGGATCACGGAGGTCTGAAGACCATAGAAGGACCGAACGTGAGGATCACGGAGGTCCGAAGACCATAGAAGGACCGAACGTGAGGATCACGGAGGTCCGAAGACCATAGAAGGACCGAACGTGAGGATCACGGAGGTCCGAAGACCATAGAAGGACCGAACGTGAGGATCACGGAGGTCCGAAGACCATAGAAGGACCGAACCGAACGTGAGGATCACAAAGGTCTGAAGACCATAGAAGGACCGAACGTGAGGATCACGGAGGTCTAAAGACCATAGAAGGACCGAACGTGAGGATCACGGAGGTCTGAAGACCATAGAAGGACCGAACGTGAGGATCACGGAGGTCCGAAGACCATAGAAGGACCGAACGTGAGGATCACGGAGGTCCGAAGACCATAGAAGGACCGAACGTGAGGATCACGGAGGTCCGAAGACCATAGAAGGACCGAACGTGAGGATCACAAAGGTCTGAAGACCATAGAAGGACCGAACGTGAGGATCACGGAGGTCTGAAGACCATAGAAGGACCGAACGTGAGGATCACAAAGGTCTGAAGACCATAGAAGGACCGAACGTGAGGATCACGGAGGTCTGAAGACCATAGAAGGACCTAACATGGGAAGATCACTGAGATCTGAAGACCATAGAAGAAACTAACATAGGAAGACCACTGAGGTCTGTGTGTGAGGGAGGAGTTACGGCTGTAACCCTAAGGTGCGGGGGAGGAGTTACAGTTGGAGCCCTCAGGTGCGGGGGAGGAGTTATGGCTGGAGACCTCAAATGTGGGGAGGAGTGACAATTATGGCCCTTCGATTGGGCGAGGAGAGGGGGGGTTCTCTAATTAGGGAGAAGTGACAGTTGGGGCCCTCTGATTGGGCGGAGGAGTGACACTTGGGGCCTTCTGATTGGGGGAGGAGCGAGTTGTAACCCTCTGATTGGGGAGGAGTTACACTTATGGCCTTCTGATTGGGGGAGGAGCGACAATTGGGGGTTCTTGGATTAGGGAGGAGTGACAGTTGGGGCCCGCTGATTGGAGGAGTGACAGTTGGGGGTCTTCATATTGGAGGGGGGGGGGGGGGGGGGGGGGGGGGGGGGGGAGTGACCGTTGGAGCTCTCTGGCTGAGGGATGTATAACAGTTGGGGCCCTCTGATTGGGGGAGAAGTGACAGCTGGGGCGCCCATGTTAGGAGGAAGGA